CCAAAGTTGGAGGGATGAGCCCGAAATCTGTTCAACGGGTTATCGTTGCAGAGCAGCTAGACGGACGCCCTTATTAAGATTTGCCAACATAGTCAGACGAAAGAAGTGGGCAAGTGATATGATGACCAAGCCTCTGGACTTTTGGAAGACCGTATTGTTCTCAGACGAATCAAGATTCGCTCAATTTTTGGACAGTGGAAGGATATGCGTCTGGAGAATGTCTCACCAAGAGTTTTGGCTCAACAGATTGCAGCCAACTGTGAAGCATGGTGGTTTCAGCGTGATGGTTTGGGGAGCTGTTTGGGTTGGCGGGAGATCGAGCTTAGTGGAGTGCGTTGGCAACATAAATTTTGCGAAATATGTCGAAATATTGGAGGAAGGACTCCTGCCACTTTATTCTTCGGGTTTCGTGGACAAGAACACAACATTGTTCCAGGAAGATGGAGCACCGTTGGAGATTGGCTCGGCCAGGGCAACTTCTGGACACCATTTTCTTCCTGCCACTTTTGGGTGTTTCTAGCAGTGTGACTGACATGAACTCCATCGAAAACCTCTGGGCCATACTCGACCGGCAAGTCAAGAAACAACAACAACAAAAAAAAACAGCTTAGAAGAGCGATCTACTCCAAGTTTTAAAGCAAGAGTGGGCGAAAATCCCACAATCTAAAATTGAAGAGATTATTCTCACAATGCCCCAAAGGATCAACGAACTCCACAAAGCGAAAGGAAGATCTACTAGGGAAAAATATCTGGCGGAGATGAGGAATTTCAAAGAATAAATAGATGGGTGCATGAACCATGAAAAAAAACTGCACAGATGGGACAGGGAAAACCATCCGGATCAGAACAAGAATAAAAAGTGAGAAATGGAAGAAAGAGAAACAGGAGCAAACACACTATCCCCTTCACAAGCTATATATGTTTTAGGAAGAAAAGCAAGAGCAGAATAATGAAGAGTACAAGAAGAATGGACAAAATATGGGAAGCAGCAAAGGCATACATGTTAGAACTCCAACAGCCACAGGCCAAAAATAAGAAATATGGTTAAGCAACATATGGTACAAGGAATAAGAGACTACAGGTTCAAAGAGAGGAAGGCTAAGGGCATGGAGAACAGCATTCAGGTAACAATCAGGAAGGACTGCAGAACAAAGAAGACAGAGGTGGCAAAAAAAAAGAAAAAGAAAGAGCATATAAAGGACAAGAAAGGAGAATACATGACAATAATGGGAAAACCCAAAAGTAGTAGGTAGAGCTGCCCTGTAGCCAGCAATGATTGAAATTTATAAGTCTTAGTCAAACAATCATGAAAAAATTCTGAAAAATGGGGGATAAAAGGATGGAAAGGGGAGAAAGCATGATGCAGAGACTAACCAATAAACAAGGAGGGAGGAAGAAGAAACGGAACAAGAAATAGGAAGGCAACATGTACAGCAAGGGACCAGACAAAACCCATAGAGGAAGTTGGAGTGACAACACTGCCAGATGAGAGGAGGAGGGGTGAGGTTGAAGGAGTAGAGAGTGTGACAGAGATAGAGGAAAGAAGGACCAAAGAAGGTTTAATAGAGAAAACCACAGCTGAGCCAACCAGTATAGACCTATCAGGAGGACACAACATGGAGTCTCCTGATTGAGGGAAAGTACACGAGAAAGAAGACAAATAGGAGAATAAGCATTGAGAAAAAGGTTGGACCAGTCCTAACTGAATGCACCTAGAACTATAGCTGAGGGAAGAGGAGCAAGGGACCAGAAAAGGGGAAGTATGATGTTGAGATGAATGGCAAAAATATCTAGAAGAGGAGTGCCCATATGAGAGCACAGCCACTGAAACACCATTGGATCGAGGGACCACTCCATAGGTAGTACCTTGGTGGCTCTTGAGAGACAATCTGCGACAAGATTCAGAGCATCCGGAATATAAGAAACTATCAGCAGCATTTGTAAATAATGGGCCCAGAAAGGATGTTGAGAGTATGGAAACAGAGTGAGACTGAGTGTCCCCCCCCTAGTGATTGGTATTGAAGACAACTGCAGAGTTGACTATGTATAATAACTAGACATCCACAATCCATAATAAGAAAATGATCTAAACTTGACATACCACCAAAAGCTGCAAGAGATGGATATAAAGGAACTATTTGTCATGGGACTACCAACTAGAATTCATGTGAGAGTCAATACATGCCCCCCCCCCCCTTCATCAAGGAGGCATTTGGAAACAGAGGAAGGAACAACCTCTATGGTACTAGTTTTATCAAGTCACCAGGTGAAGTCCTTGAGTAAGGATGAAGAATGGTAGAAAACAAAGGATTCCAAGCAAAACTCCAGTGATCATGCAAAGTCCACTGTAGAGATTACAAACGAGCACTACCCAAGGGGAAAAGGGATTCCATGGAAGCCCAAGTCCCCAAGAGAGAAGGAAAGGATAGAGCATGGGAAACTAATCACTCCATGTCCCTCAAAATAAGAGGCGAAGGCTGGGCTCTGTGAGATGTGAACTGAAAAACACCCAAATGAATGACAAAGTAAATGAGTGTGAGATGGTTGCAAGAGACTTGTTGGGAAAATAAGCATTTGAAATGTTCACCTCAGTCATCCTAAGACCTGGTGCAAAAGACTACTGTAGGGTGATAAAAGTCCCCACGGTAAATTGAGGGAGGTTTAAAAAACTGACTGAGACATGAAATATCTAAGACTGGATACTTTTCTACAAATTCCTTGTGAACCACAAAAAAACGGGAATAGAATACTGGAAAAGGATGAGAAACCTGTCCGATAATGACTTTAGTCATTATGTCCGACACTGCCAAGAAACAAGACCACTTGGAGAAAGGAAAGTAGTGGGAACAGGAAACATTGTGGGAGGAGATTAAAAAAAATATCTCTAACAGAACTCCCAGTACCCAATAATTGGCCACAAATGGAGGACAAAAGTCCATAAACTAAACTAAACAGGCCCTACTGACCCTGACAGCACTGAAGTCTATGAACAGTGGGAGGATTGATGGAAACAGAAGATTTAGAAGTGGTGACAGGGACAGAAAAGGAAGTAGGATGACAGGAGACAGAGAGACAAAGAAGGAACATGGGAGAGACAGTAAACCAGTGAGGATTAGGATTAACATTGACATGCAGCCCTAACACATTACTCCAGAGGAACAAAAGGTCCAGTAAAATCACACAGGCAGACAAAGCCTTATGAGATAAAATAGAGGCAAAAGCACTTGAGTAACAAGGGCATCACACTAGTGACAGATCAACCAAATATGAAGTGATAAGGCCAAGGAAGATAATATGCCAGCATAGAAAAGTTAAGCAAATGAGCATCAGCTGAAAATCCCTTAGGGGAATGGTGAATTACCATGGAAAAATAACAGAAAAGGACAGAGAGTGTAAGACAAAGGTGGGAAAACTTAAGCCTAAGAAAGACAAAAAAAAAAGACAGAGGATATGACCCCCAAGTCTGAATATTCCAGAATTTAGGAGTCAAAGAAAGGCAATACAGCACGAAATCATGCCTAATCATATGAAGTAACAAAGGAAGGAGGACTAGGAATGCATGCACCAAAGTAGTGGTAAAAGTAATGGAATATGGACTTGTATATCTGAATAGGAGAACATAAAAGGAAGAAGCAGGGAACAAATTACAAAGAGAAGGAAAGAAACAACTGAGAAACCCAGTTCTGAAAAATACTTAGGTAGAATCAAGACAGCATGACTATTAGATTAGGCAAAAATAGGTGGTGGGAAAAAATTGGCAAAATCCTTTCTATTACAAATGAAAAACATAGACAGACACACATTAGGGAAAAACAACAACCCAGGCCACATGAAAGACTCCACACCAATATATTTGTTAGACTAGCACGAACAGTCTTCTTGTTTCACACCATACAAAGTTTAAGTTACTGACATTTTTGAAATAATAATGTGGAAATAAAAGGCCACAAAATGTGCAGGCGCAGAAAATGTTGGAAAGTGACAATTCAGTATTTGTAGATACTTCCATTAAAAAAGATGCCTATATCTGAAAAGTTCACAAGTAGAAAAAACAACAAAAAAAACACATTGTCACACACAAGTGCCAAATTGAGAAGTGATGATTAAACAATTAGTATAGAGGGAGCCAGTTGTGCTATGAAGACGTGTTGCACTCCTATTGGTGGAGGGTTGTCAATTGCTACAGTGCAACAATACCATGTGAAAACACGTGAGTTTAGGATGAGCCTCAAGGCTACTGGACAGCAAAAACTTGCACATACAGAGAGCACCACAAAACTGAAGAAAGCTCAGATGTTAATGGAAGGTATTGTGTCAGAAATCACAATTCACAAGCTGTATATGGTAAGTTTTGCCTTGTCTATTGTTATAATAGAAACTATCAAAAACTGCTTCAAGCATGTCAAGATTATGTTACAGCCTGAACAAAGTGAAATTGCTGAGCCTGTTCAGATGTCAGACGATGTTAATAAGACTGCTTCTAGAATTCATATCTTAATATTTAGTAGTAATGATGCTATTTCAGTTGATCAGTGGGTCAACGTTGATTCGGCAAAGCCAAATTGAATTGTCAGATGACATCATTTTCATTGTGTCTCATCAAGATGGTGATAGTGAAACTGACACTGAAAACGATCCACCAGTTGAGCCAGTCTAAATCAAGCACAATCTAGTCTTAGCAACATCATCACATAGTATAAACAAAATACTAATTTGTGTGAAGATGATGATGATGTAATGTGTTATTTGTTCAAAGATACTGAGAAGCTTCAAAAGGGGAAAAAAAAATCCAGTTCAAAAGCAGGTTGCGATTACACCTTTCTTTGGAAAGTGATTCGTTGTATATTTGATCAGTGCTATTTGTTTTACATTCTGTAAGTTGCTAGTGTGAACAAAACAATGTAAAGGTAATCAAATTCCATTTTTGATTATGCATCTTGCATAATTATTAATGATGTATAAAATAATAAACTTTTATATGTTTATTGTACATGCAGTTGCTTTTTGTTTTTGAGTCGCATACCCACCCTTATTAGTTTGCACCCTAACATTTATCCATCAATAAAAAATGCTCTTAATGATGTCCACTGTATTCAAAATGACTGATCTGACTATCCACGCCTTGATAATCCAAACAAATTAGTTTATTACAAGTGAATTCAGATTATGTGGTTTCACTACATAACTATTCAGGAAAATATTTTCTTTCAAGTGATTTACAATCACAAACTGGAAAACAGAACTATTAAAACTGGCTTTAAAATTTCTAAACAAACAGAACTGAAATGTAGTTTGG